TTTTCAATCAATCTCTCAGCAAGAAAGCTTCGTACAAGAGTCAAAAAAAGAAACTCGCAATGTAACAACTTGAAATACAAATAAATGGGGCACCAAGTTGGGCTGTATTTATTTAGTACGCGTGTATGGGCCCTAATGGGGAGTTGGATATGAAAGGGAGAATTTTTCAATGATGGTGGACTCATGATTTTGCATCAAACAACACCAAAATAGAAGTATAATTACAGTATGATGTAAAAGTACATGTTGGCAGTGTGATCCAAAAGTGATGATTGTGTAATATGTCAGTGTGATCAGTCAACAGTCGACGATCAGCGACTGACGGGTGTATTCCACCCACGACCGGTCAAAGGAGAAGACCAATTAGTTGACCGGTCAATTTTGAAAGTTTTGAAGGGAGACTTAAATCGTCAGCAAAACGATATATAATCGGCCAAAAGATGACCGGTATACTTCACGAAAAAGTATACCGGTCAAACTACGTTGTCATGTTATTTGTTCCCAGACTTCGATGAATTCATCCCTCGGAGATTACCCGGTGTAGTTTCTAGGGTTGGAAAGTGTTGGCAGAAGAGAATCTACGAGAGCTTGGCGTGTAGCGACCCATGACAGTAGAGGACAACTGGAGATGCTGAAGAATCCATCACAAGGCACTACTCGACAAAGGGAATAATCCCCCTCACAAGGCGACAAGGCAGCTCAAGGACGAAACCAGTCACCTCGCACCACATCAGCATCGAGCCCCCACGTGGGCGCACGTGGTCCTGTCCCCTTAGCCTAGTATAAATACTCATGTAAACCTCAGAAAGAGGGATCCGAATTCATTCTCCCTAAACTCCCTTGTAAAAGCACCCGTGCATTCTCCGTTATAATATAAATTGGGCTACAGGTGTTCCACCTAAAGTCCTACCAGTCAATCTGCGTGTTTTTACCTTTCTTACTTTACCAAATCAAGCAAACTATTCTAGACCCGGTCTAGTATAGTTTGATCGGTCAAGTAATTTACACCATCAGCGACGGTACTCTGGTGGCCGACAGTGAAAGATGACGGTGTGGCGGTAATAGTTTGATAGTTACAGTATAACAATATGGCGAGTGTGATACTGTAACAATGACTGTGTAAACTCTTATTTTGATCTAAAAAGACTTTGAACTTCTATTTTTTGAATTTTCGTAGTTTTTTACTCTTATCTATAGAGTTCTCCCTTATCTAAAATATATTCCGAGATACTTTCAATTTCCTAGCAAGAGTTCGCACACCCACATTATCTAAAACATAGTCAAGGGGTCTTTGAAATTTATGGTAATGTACTTCAAGGGTACATTGCATTTATTCGGATGCTTGAATTGAGAGTTCCGTTACTTTGACATATACTAAATGTTACATTGACATTCATTATTTTATTAAATTTAAATAAAATTTTCAATTTATTAAAGTAAAGGAGCATAATTATAATGCCTAAATTGACAGAATATACACTCGAAGTATAATATCACAAATTTTAATGATCTCAGAGTATATTTTAGGTAATGTGGAACTTGAGAATTCTGACCATAAATTAAGGATACCTCAAAGTATATTTTTGATAATGTCAGGAATTATTACCTGATACTCCAAAATTTTTATGTGGTACAATATTAAAAAAAATTACAACCATGCTACACTTACACAAAAAAATGTACCCCATTTGTACACCATAATTATGCATAAATATTTTGATGGTTTACATCGACACAAGTGTTGGTGCGTTAACAAAAATTTACACAAACACAAAGTGTTGGTATGTTAACAAAAAATAATTTTACACTAACACAAAATGTTAGTGCAAATCTGTGGGATATAAATTGTGGTACAAAAACACGGGTACAAATAGCTTAATCCAACAAATTAATAAGGAGTAAGGTACTCCGTACTCCGTTCCACCCTATTTGCATTTGCAGACCTTATCTCATCCCCATCCACCCAATCTCCTACGCCGACACCCAAAAAATAAAACTGATGAGAAGCCGAGCACCGCCGAAGGGAAGAGGACGAGGAACAAGAAGGAAAGAAGAGGAAGTTTACCGATCTGACTACCCTACTCCGTTTAATGGAGGTATTTTGTATTTTTGACTTAATTTATTTAAGCATTTATCATTTTATGATAATGTTGATATATATATATATATATATATATATATATATATATATATATATATATATACATACACACACACTAGTATTTTAACCCGTGCCGCGCACGGGATCGAACGAATTTATTTCGATTCTGAAATTTTTTAGCTTAATATTTTTTTCAGAATAATGAAAATAGATTTCTCACATAATCTTTAATACTATAAAAAATGACAAAATCGAATAAATAATATTTTAGGAATTAAAAATGTACTCAACAAAGTTTATTCAATATTTTTAAGGTATACAATATTTTTGGTATGGTTTTCTAAAAGATTTTAATGTATACAATATTTTTGGTATGGTTTCAAGAGTTTTCATTGACATCTAGAATCCATATTTTTAATCTTGTATTTGTGTCACTTATGAAACAGTAATATAAAGCTGATCATGAGTGGATATTGATTTGGTTAAAAATAATTCAACAAAAGATAATGTTTGACCTTGACTTTTGTTGATAGTCATAGCAAAACATAAGGCTATTGGGCTATTGGGTTTGATGGTACCAAATTTATTTGGGGTATGTAAACTTTTTCTCTAACTCAATTTCCCGAAACAACAGTACCACCGATGATGTTCTTTTGCAGCTCGTCAACGATTAATCTTTTACCACTATACAATCCAAATGTTTGGCCAATGTTATTCAATAACATAATCGATACCCCCTTTTTTAAAACAATTTTGTGGGTTGGGATTTTTTAAAATTCAATTTCATTCAAAAATTAAAATGTTGTTTATCCTCCATCAACACTTACATCTGAACCTGTCTGGCATATGGAATCATAAGTCAAGTACTCCATTTTATCTCTTAGAATGAGGGATAACACAAATTCATTTATCATTTCTACAACCTCAAACGCGGGTGTTAGTAGGGCCATATTCTAAAAAACAATAAATTTTCATACTCTCCAATAGGTTCGGATAAGTGAAGTCCACTATACTCTTGAAGGGATAACTTTGTTGTGTCTAAAATCAAGAATTTAGGTGAAATTTCAATGTCACCAGTTCCATCAATCACTTGTCCAAACTTTCTCTATCCAATTTTGATTATCATATCAAAAAAGCTTGTATGTCCTTATGTGCGCAAGCAGATGTAGATGAATGTAATATCATATTTTTAGTCAACGTATAAACTTTACAATATGACCATAATTTTGAGGAATTCACGATGGTGCCTACAATTTCCTCTCTCGAAGATCTGAGTAAACTCAAAGATTCTGGCAAATATCACATCCAAGTACAATTATTTTCCTTCCAAATGATTCATTTCTGGAGTTTTTAGAAACAAACATCATTACATCTCTCATTGTGTGGCTCAATGTCTCAAAAGCAAATCTATTAATCGTGTATGTTTCATCTTATATGATTAGACTTAGTACCTTTAAGTGTGTAAATACTAAGCATTTTTATATCTTTTATTCATTAATAACTTTTATTATATTGTCCAAATTGTATGTATTTTTTATAAGTAAAGCTTGTATCGTATAAGAATATAACAATTAAATTTTAAATTGGAAAACACTATTTTTAAAGCATAACTTTTATTAGAATTAGAATTGTTATACTCAATATGGAATATTATTAATGCTCCATTATATAACATGCTAATAAAAGTCCTTTTCCTTTTATATACTTCTCTTTCTTTTTCAAAATAGGAAACGAATGCTTTAAATA